CATGCAGAACAAATAAAAAATCTTTTTATTTGAATTCTTTAAACTTTTTCTCAAAACTTTTCTCATCTTTTTTTCTTTTGCTTACATCACTCACAACTTCTTTGAAGAAAAAACAAGATAAAAACAACGATATATTATTTGGTTTGAACGGAAGAGAAAAGCTTATCTCCTTGTCACTTTGACACATTTAATTGGACTGAAATTATCGCAAAAAAAGGTTAGTGTATTCGTCTTAAAAAAACAAATACTACTGATTGTCGTACTGTTTACTGTTAGTTTAGTAACAATTTGGAAATTACTAATTTCAGTCGTTTTTTTTTATCTCTTGGCTTTTTTTTAATTTGTGGCGAAAGCATTAAAAATTTGCAATAATAAATGCAATATACAACGAAAATCTAAGAAACATCAAGAAGTTTTGAAGGTATAAAAAATGAATCAAATGACTAGTAAATAATAAATAAAGAAAGAATATTTATTTTAGGTTTAGAATGTAGAAGTCTGGAAACCTTACTACCATAGTTGGCATCTGAATTACTAAAGAAGTTCTATGGATTAATTGGTCATATGAGCATTAGCAGCTGAAACACTAGCCGAAGCCCGTTTTTTCTGGTTTTTTTTTTCTTTTTTTTTTGCTGCTTCTGATAGAAAAACTAGTAGTTCTTCATTCTTCGGCTATCTGTTGTTGTTCAGCTTAAAAACTGTAATTTTTAAGACTGCTTTAAGTCGTTTGAAGTAATCTATATCAGGTGAAATGATAATCATTTCTGGTAAGAAACTCACACGAATCTGCCAGATAAAAAACTATCTTTAAAACTTTTTTTTTGTTTTGTCGTCTATCAACGTTTCGTCTTCGCTCTACTACTTTAATCTTGATCTTTTTTTTCTTTATTTATTCTGACACTTTTTCTAAGCTAATTGCTAATTGCCAATTAGTTCAATAAAAATTAGTTTATAGCCAGTGATGCTATTGCTGTTACTGTCGTTGTTACAGATAAAAAATACGTGAGCTCAGTTACCTTGAGAAAACACGTTTTGTTGTAGACCTGTAACTGAAATAATTCGGTATTGTTTTTTTGTGACCACAAACCATCGTTTTGTACAAAAACATTGGTTATTCGACAGCTTACTTGACCATCGGCAGCAAACTTAACCTTTGCTTCTGAAAATTAACTGCAATATAAAAACGGAGGTGGAAGAAGAATACAGAAAGGAATTTGGGAGAACTGAAGAAAGTAAAACGGTTGGAAGAAAAAAGATCTGAAAAAAAATTCAAAGTATTTTACAATTCTGATTTTTTTCTATTTGTTTCTTCAACTGTTGTTTTATGATCTTTTATTTAAAAACTTTAAAAAAACTGTTAAATGTTGACAGTAAAACAAAGCACTATTCCAATAAATGTCTGTGAAGCCAAAATAATATTGCATAACGACAGTAAAAAAATTTATTCATGAAAAAGAAACATTACGGTAACAGAAAAAAACTCAGGACCAAATTCAGTGATGTTGACAAACACCTTTTTTTTTCCTACATTATATAGGAATATATTTAAATTGTGCAAAAATGAAGTGAAATATAGAATCAAGTAAATAGATAAATAGACGACGAAAATACAACTAATGGAGTGTTATTCATTACTATTTTTATACAGGGTCAACTTTCTACCCCTAAAACAACAAAAGATGGAAAGGCTAACGGTAATTACAACTTTATGGAATTTTCAAACAAGTTTCAAACTGTAATTTTCTTACTTTTTTTGTTTTGTGTTTATTAATAAATAATAATACAATTTAGAAAGCAATAATAGCAACAAAAGAAAAAAGCAATGATTAAGAGTGTAACTCTGTTTTAATTTCACCAACGCCAAATGTTGTTTGGAAGCCGGACAAAAGAAACGAAAAAAAGAGATGAAGCAACAGAAACGAGAAAAGAAGAAGAAAGTTTTTGATTAGTTGATATATATTAAACGATTTAGAAAGAACAAAAGTTTAGCCTAAAATGATGATTGTAAATCAACTTCGACTACTCCGCATTATTTAACTCATCTTTTTTTTTTT